CCCCAAAACCCCAAAACCCCAAAACCCCAAAACCCCAAAACCCCTGCATGCAATGTAGCAAACGTAATCGAAGAAAAATAGATTTAAGTTAAGATGTAGATTTGTCAAAATTATTAAGATGGTAACATATTGGAATTCTCATTCTTGATCAGGAGAGTAGGGGGTGAGGTCGGTATATCCAAGAGCAGTGTTGCCATAGAGATATACTGCCTATAGCTTTGAAAAATCTTTTACGTTGTGGAGTCCATTAATTGGTGCTCCAGTTCTGAATCTCTCAACGAGGTTATCATTGCAAACGTAAGATATACCGAATGAACAAAGATCAGTAATGTTGTTTTCAACGAGGTTAGTTGCCTTCTCAAAGTCAAGTTAGTAGTTTCCAATAAAAGTGCCCTTGAACAAATGTCTGAAATTTTCTCTGATAGTCTTTTTCTCGTGATTAGCCCAGATTTTATCGTGCTTTTCTTAAGCAGTTGCTGGATCAAAAGTCAGTGCCTCATTCACTTCAACGAAAGCAATGCCTTTCTTGTTAAACTCTCCGAAAAGATATTCAACCAATGCAAATGGGTCTGAATCAGCCAATCCATTGTAGTCACAGACTGGAGATAGCTTGATACCCACTCTGTCAGCACCAAAGACTTCGATGAGCTCATCAAGAATCTCAAGGCAGAATCTAGCTCTGTTTTCAATTGAACCTCCATACTCATCATCTCTTTGGTTGCAGCCATTTCTAAGGAATTGATCAACAAGATATCCATGAGCACCGTGTAATTAAACTCCATCAAATCCTGCTCTCTTGGCATTCTCAGCTCCTTGTCTGAAATCTTTGATCAACTGCTTAATTTCCTCCACAGTAACAGCTCTTGGTGTCACATGAGCTACTCTTCCATTTTGAGTATGGACTGTGTCAGCAATAGCTATTGCTGACGAAGAAATTGGAGTTTATCCACCAAGGTGATCTGAGTGTGCTGCTCTTCCAGAGTGCCAAATCTAGAGATAAATTCTACCGCCCTTAGCATGGACTTCATCAATTACTTTCTTCCATCCCTCGACTTACTCGTCTGAGTAAATGCCGGTTGATCCTGGGAAGCAATTTCCATCTGGTCTGATTGATGAGCATTCAGATAACATAAAAGCTGATTCAGCTCTTGCACTGTAATATTCTTTGTGCAAATCAGTAGGTACTCCATTAGATGGGTCGCATCTGCATCTAGTTAAAGCAGCCATTACAATTCTGTTTGGGAGCTCCAAATCTCCCATCTTATGTGGTGTGAATAATGCTTAGGATCTTTCTCTTTGATTTTCCATCTGATTCGATATTAATATTAATAATTACGTGTATTTTTTTATTTTTAGTATGTAATGATGTAATTAATCTTAGATATACGTCTTAATTTTTCAGAGAGTTTATTCTAAATACTAACTCGTTCTTTTCACAAAGATATTACAATCAGGGGTTTTGGGGTTTTGGGGTTTTGGGGTTTTGGGGTTTTGGGGTTTTGGG